ATCAGATTAAAAACTGTGCAAAGGACTTGAATAGACATTTCTTCAAAGAAGATATACAACTGTCCAGTAAGCACAGAATATGCTTAACATCATTAGTCATTAGGAAAATACAAATCAAACCACCCTGAGAAACTACTTCACACCTAGAGGATGGCTATAATAAAAACAAAAAAACAAACCCCAGAATATAATAAGTTTTGGAAAGGATATGAATAAATTGAAACACTTGTATATTGCTGGTAGGAATGTAATATGATACAGCTGCTGTGGAAAACATTTTGGTGTTTCCCCAAATAGGTAAGCAGAGAAATGCCATATCACCCTGCAATTCCGTTCATAACCCAAAGAATTGAAAACAGGTACTTGTATGCCAGTGTTCACTGTAGCATTTTACAATAGCTGAAAAGTGGAAACAACCCAGGTGTCCATCAGCATAAGATGGATAAGCAAGTGTGGTATATGTCCACACTGTGGAATGTTATTCATTCATTAAAAAGGAATGAAGTTCTGAAATATGCTACAACATGGATGAACCTTGAAAACATCACAGACTAAGTGAAATAAGCCAGACACACACACACAAAAACCAAGTATTATATGACTCCTTTTAGCTAAAGTACTTAAAATAGACAAATTCATAGAGACAGAAAGTACATTGGAGATTACTAGGAAAGGGGGGAATGGGAGTCATTGCTTATTAGGTTCAAAGTGTTTGAGGTAATGAAAAAGTTTGGGTAATAGATAGTAATGATTTTTGCACACAATTGTGAATGTAATTAATGCCATTGCATTGTACACTTAAAATGGTTGAAACGGAAAATTTTATATTATATATACAGGGTATCCCAAAAACATGTATACACACTTTAACAGCTGATAGCAGACTAAGCTTTGAACAAAGGAAATTCATCCTAAAATGCTACCGGAAGTTTGAAAACGCAGTTGATATACAAACACTGCCTTTATAATTATTCAAAGTGTGTATACATTTTGGGGGGAATACAGGGTGTCCCAAAAACGTATACACACTTTAACAGCTGATAACTCACTTAATTTTCACCCCTTTTCAAGTTTAACTGATCTGAAATAATGGGTGAAGCCATACCAAGCTTTAAACAAAGAAAATTGATCTACTAGACTTTTATTATGGGGATATATAAAAGACAAAGTTTATGGTACAAAACCAGCAATGAATTGAGGGCACACAAACATAAAAAAAAAATGATTCTTGTTATTTGCAATTCAATTTCTTTGAGTTATCAGCAGTGCCTGGACCAGAATGGCCATCAGTTTGAAAACAGGTGTTGACCAAAAAAATTATTCATTTCTGTAGATTTTTTTAAAGTTTGAAAAGGAACTGTATGTTAATAAACATTGACTTTATAATCATTTAAAGTGCGTATACATTTCTAGGGACACCCTATAATTTAGCACAATAAAAATTTTAAACAATGAATTCTTAGTAAAAACTCCAGTTTATAACAGGAAACCACACTATTCCTTACTTAAGGCAAGTTTTAATAAGACTTTTATCTTTACTACCATATAGTTTGACTATTCATTTCTAGCTACATAACCAGAAATAGGACAAAAATAAGCATTCATTAGGTCAGAGATTTCGATAGAATCAGAGAACCAAGAGATGTGTTAGTCAAGTCAGGGGTGAAATATTTTAGTGTTTTATATTCTAAAGGGTCATTTTTCACTGAAAGTCACATTATCTACAAATATACATAACTGTGTACATACATATTCATATATCTACAAATACAGAGCCAGTGCCAGAGGCTTTCTTGGTTCTTATCGTTGTAATTCCTCTGGAGAGGAAGAACTTTCTCAACAACATCCCTGAGGTATTTCCAACTCCTCTTTCGAAACCTCCTTGAATCGCCTGAGGATGCAATGTCATAGTGGCCACAGGCAGACCTTCTTTACCTGGCTTACATCCCTCTTCTCTTTCCCAAATTCCTTCTTTCTCATTGTAAATAATTCAAGTGTGGTCTGGGAATCTAGGTGCCCTTGAGAGTTAATGCTTTTTGCACATTATTACGTTTTCCCCACTGAATATTTTTTCTCTGGATCCTCCATTGGAGTTATGTGCACCACTGTAAGGGAAATAAGATCTCTGGGGGATTGATAGACATTATCAACATTAGAAATACTCATAAAAATTCAGTGTTTCCAGAATTTTTCCCTTTGGTCTAAATTACTAGGGTTTGAGATGATTTTTCAATGGAAAGGAGAAAATAGCTTTTCTATCAAATTAAACATGCAAATTATACCAATATATTAATTATTAACAGAACAATTATACCACCTTTTTAAAGGCAACAGGCACTTTCATACATCATTTCATTTCTCCACAAAATTTCCTTTTCAGTTGTTTGAAGATAACTATTATTACGGTAATTTTTCAAATAAAAAACCTGAACCCAGAGAGGCTAACTGCTTTGCTTAAATCTGAATGGACTCAGCACTGAATTCCTACACACTCCCAATACTCGTAACCTTGCACTTCTTTATAATTAGAACAAATTGCAGGAAGAAACAGACTGGGATGAACATTAAACATTAAATATTATTGGCTTATTGAACTACTAATGCCCCATCATTTAAAAAGCTCATATTAAAACTAAGTTGGGTCCAACCACTTTCTGTTATAGAAAAGGTTGTGCCTACCCTGGCAGCATAATAACTAGTAAATTGGTTGATCTGTTCATTTTCAAAAGTGAATTTTTTTGTTCTTTAAAATAATCTTTGTCATCAAATCTGGAACAGATTCCAGACCCTTAACTTTGTCAAAACCAGTAACATTGGAAAATGACGCTACTATTTAAAATTTCTTTGGGATGGAGGGTTGGGTTGACAGTGGTGTGTGGGGTAGGCAACGGTATGCGAGATAAACATTAAGAGGTCATTGGCTAAAGGCCCATGTGAAGTAAAAAACCCTTTTCACTTGAGATCTTGTGATCCTAAACCCACATGCAAAGAGGGAGCATGTTCCTACAGTCCCATGATACATTATGGTAAGACATGCAATCACCATGAAGCTTCCCTCATCTCACAGATAAAAAGCCTGGAGTCCAGAAGGCTAGTCCATTGCCAGAAGACTGGTTTAAAAGGACACAACTCTAGAATCTAGAACAATAAGCGCTTTTTAATGATGGATCCTATTAAATGAAAAACCATTTCCCAGCTGAGCTCCTGGATCTAAGTATGCAAATTTGAGAAGAGTTTTGGGGATAGCTGAATTGCTGCACCTAAGAAAGCATTCTCCCTGGAGTTGTGGGCCTGGACAGGAATGGAGTGGGTGGGGAAACAATGGCCTGAGAGACCCAGACTGCCATGAGCTCCACCACCACCCAGTCCTCCAGTGAACCTGAAAATGATGGCTGGGTTCCAACTGTTGGTGGGACCTGGAGATTAGATGTAGTTTCAAGTCCAGATTAATTTCAGAAACACATGCATATGCTGTTTTGATTCCTGGGTCAATGCTCTTTCACATTATAATGTGGTTTTGTATATATACAAAGGACTTCCTAGCGGCCAGAGATTTCTACCTTGAAGGACAGCACAGAGCCCAGAGCCCAGAGCTAGGAGCTGTCTAAAGAAGAAAATCAATTCTGGAATCCACTGGCCCCTGCTTCAGCACTAATTCTTTCTTCTCAGTCTGATTTACTCAGTTACTTTTACTACCATCCAATCAGAAAACCACTATTAGTATTATTCAAATGCAGATCAGATCTGCCTCTAAATCTAGGAAGTGAGTATAAATTCCAGGCAAGATGTTCAAAGAAGCCAGTAACATTAAAATACTAAAAACATAGAACGTCTAGTCCTCCTGGGCCTCTGAATCAAACATCTTTGATCTTGGAATGGCATTCACTTGCTTATGATGGTTATTACTCTCAGGGCTGGCTGCATCCCAGAGCCCCATCCTCAGAAGGGGAAACCACTTGGGGCTTAGTGGTTTACCTGTCACTGTCTTAAAATTCTTAATAATCTTAGCTTTGAATTTGTGTTTTATGAGAGAAGTCCCCTGGGACAACGGGGAAGAAATGGAGGAGTGGAGCCTCGGGGCACATGTGGTCCTGCCTCCTGGGGATAGTCTCTATGCTATCCTGCCTGCTTCCCTGCCCCTGCTTAGTGAGCTCTGCCATCTACCTGGCCTGGGTCAGGACACTGCTCCTGAAGAGCAGGGGTCAAGCCCACACCCTGTGCACTGAGCCAGGGCCTAGGCCCAGTGCCTGGGAGTCTGTATTCACCCTGCACATATCCTCATGCTTGAAGGAGCTAGACATTAATTAGCAAATATACATATATGATCAAACAAAACAAAAAAACACCATGACTAGTCAAGAAAAAGCTTTATCCTGCTTTTTGAACAGAGAGTCCAAATTTTCATTTTGTACTGGGCCTTCTAGATGATAAAGCTGGCCCTGATTAGATACCTTATCTGGACATCACGAGCCAATATTATTTTTAGATTCTTAACTAAATAACCAAAATACATGTGGAATAATAACTCTGATTTTACTAAAAGTATTATTTGGTATCAAGAACTCTTCATATTAAACACAAAAACAGATATTTTCACTAGTTCAACAGAAGGAAAACAGGCTGTATTATTCTTGCCGGCAGGTGTCATTAACAATAGAAAGTCTGGACCTGTTGATGTGACCTGACAGCTTGATGTATGAAATGGAAAAGTGATGGATTTTTTTTTCACTGAGGCAGCCAGGAAAAAAAAATTACTTATTTCTCCACAATAAAAATATTATTGCTCCATATTTTCTATCACATTGGGAAAGTTTTAAAAAATCTTGTTACTTCTCTCCTCTGTTGGTGTTTGCTCATAAGTAACTACAGTGTTTTCCAGGACCCACCTGGCACTGTGTTAAAGCAGCCAGTGACGGCGGAGGGATCAAGAGGACGTGTAAGATGTGGGTTCTTATTTCTGCGCAGAGTATATCTGCGTTGCAGCTTAGTGTCTTTCTTACCTTGAGCTTGGCCAAAAGAAGTTCATGATCATGAAGGAGTTTTTTGGTTTCATCTTGACTGCTACCAATTTCTAAAATATTGGGCTGTGACTCAGCAAGCTGGAGTTGTACCCATTTGCCACACTAAAAATAAAAATGAAATGAAAAGCACTTTTAGTTCCTCTTGTTCTTTCCCCTTCACCCTTCTCCTTTTTCTTTTCTTTTTTTTAAGTTTCCAGTTATACTATGAACACTTTATTCTTTCCATAGACAGGGGCCTTAATAAATTGAAATATAGCAGGTCTAATATAAATCCATGCCTTGCCTTTTCTTTTTTTAATTCTTAAGGTAAATGATTTTCTCTTGGCACCCTGTATTTAAACTTAACATTCCTAAATGAGGAACACATACAATAGATTATATATTATTGAATATTACAAAATTACAAAACAATTCACATAACCGTACATTCTCTCACTCACAAAAGTACTTTCCATAGACATAGTGATATTCCACTCAGGCAGGTAGAATGCAAACTTCACCACAAGGGGAAGGTTTTGTAGATGCAATGTTGGCTGATCAGTGTCCTTACATTGACCTTACTTATTTAAGCAGGAGAAACAACTGATTTGCATCTTATTTCAAAGTGAAAACATAATATTTTCCAACTTTTGGTGTTGGGTACTCAGTAAAGTAAGTAGGAAAATGTCAATAAAATCAGACACCTGTGACAGCTGCCATTTGAAAGCAGCCAATTTGTTTTCCACACTTAGGATTCCCTCACTGCTCTAGACACAACTGCTCATTGCCGTTCCTGAGGAATTGTTTCTCTAAGAAGCAACTACTGATGAAGCAATAGGTACCATGAGCAGACACATGCCTGTGGCTAGGTGAGCTGCTAAAGAGAAATGAGAAAAACGCATGTCTATTCTAGGTAATTAGTGCCCTGAGACCCTGCGGAAACAAAAGGCCCATATAGATCAGAGGTAGGCACTTCTTTCCTTTAAGATGGACTTTGCACTTTGAATAAGTTGGGGTTTGTTTTATATGGGATGGCAGTGAGCTTAAAGAGCTGCGGAGGGGAGACAAATGAATGTTCTTAGAAACACAGTTTGGTTAAATTAAGAATTTCCAGTGTGATTTTAGAGATTTTTTTCTTTCTGTCAATCTAGTTCTGATTCTCCTATAATTTATTCCATGTGCATTATTCCTTATCCTGCTCTAAGAAATAGTTCATATTTGAGGGAATGTTAACTTTCTTTTACACAGTGAGTTTGCCTCTTTTCCTTCATTGCTGAAATTTGCAGATACTCAAAGCATCACAAAATCACATGCAAGTGATCGATTTCTGCTACTTTTGCTTCAGGCTTTTTTCCATGTCCACTCATTGCCTTTGAAGAAACGAGAGGGCGAGGGAACAGGCAGAGGTCCTGCGTATGTGGGGCCAGGTTTCCACAGCCCAGGAAACAGCCCTGCCAGGACACGCGGCCTTCAGTGCCCCAGAGCCCATCCTTCTGCTCAATGTCAAGTGCTGCTTTCCTGCTATCACTTCCGCATGAACATAAAATTCACAGAGTTCAGTGAAATTAACCAGGCCTTGCCATGCATCCATGCGCTAACAAAAGGCCAGAAAGTCACTCGATGAAGCCTGACAGAGTCTGGAAAGTAACCAGCTGGTGCCAGCTTGTCTGCCCAGTTCCCTTCATTAAACACTGAATTCCTTAGGCCAGTGGTCGGCAAACTCATTAGTCAACAGAGCCAACTATCAACAGTACGACAATTGAAATTTCTTTTGAGAGCCAAATATTTTCAACTTAAACTATATAGGTAGGTACCTTGTTATTAACTTAATTAGGGTACTCCTAAGCTGGCCTTTGCTAAAAATGTCCTCAATCTGATTGAGGTACGTTTGCTGAGGTCGACCCCTTCCAACTCTCCCATCCACGCTCGTCTTGTATACTTGTTTCATCTATCTCCTTTCGTTCATCCTCTCTATATGCCCAAACAATCTCAACATACCTTTCTCAATCCTCAACACTACACATTCTTTCACTCCACAATGAAAACTGGCTTCTGCGCATGGGCCACAAGGTTTCAATCGCACTGTATGTGTGCGCCCACACGTGGTATTTTGTGGAAGAGCCACACTCAAGGAGCCAAAGAGCCGCATGTGGCTCATGAGCCGTGGTTTGCCGACCACTGCCTTAGGTGGTGAATTGTCTATATCCACACATAACGCTTCATAGGGTTCTGCAGGTCATTTTCATAGGAAAGCAGATCACAGCTATCGTCTTCAACCTAAAGATGTGCTGTCATCTTTGCAAATGGACAAATTGCTTATCATAAAACATGGCATAAAACATCAGGCTGAAGTGGCTTCAACTTCCTGCTGTCAAAAGCCAATCTGACACATGCCCTTCGCGCCTTCCCTGGCAGGGTCTCCATGCCCTCAGCAACGTGACAAGGATTTGCTCGTGCCTGTACCTGTCACCAGCAGAGCTAAGGAGGGCACGAGTCAGAGCCCCTTGTCAGGTGTTCTCTGGGTCCCATCCTGCCCGAAACAATGACACCCCCTATCTGCTAGGCTCTCCCCTTCCCTCTTCCAGCACCCCCCCCAAAAAAAAAAAACAACCACTCGTGTTTCATAGGTCCACTTGCCTCTTCAGCCTGGCAAGCATGAATTTGTAATCACCCATGCCTTGCCTTAAAAAAAACACACACACAGATTGAAAATAGACAGTTTGTTTTGTTTTTTCACCAAGCTGCTGTACATGTTTCCTCACTAACTGAAAGAGAAACTATAGTAACTGGCTGACGCTTAATAGAGGTTTCTCTTCGCTGCCGCTTTAAGAAAGCAGTAAGATGTGCTTGCTGGGTTAGCTCCTCTATGCCGTGTACTGCTGCTTGTGTGGAATGTTCTCCGGGTTTATCAGCCCACAGCCAGACGCCCACAGCTACACGGAAAAAAGAAAGTTGTCAGCTTACCTTTATGACAGCGATAACGATTTTGGAGTCCCCAGCCTGCACAGCCACTGAGCTGACGGTGGTGGTAGAAAACTCCACTTCAGGGCTTCCTGGGCTGGACATGGTCCCTTAGGTGCCGCTTACACTCTGGGCAGCCTTTGTACAGATGTGCGTCTGCTGGTCATTTCAGAAGGCAACCACCGGGGTTACTTGGATTCATTCAGGGGAAGAGCTGAGCTCCCACTGATTGCTCTGCCAGAAGCAAAGAACAGGAGGTTAAAAATAGACAACCCCATTGAGTTTATCGAGAGAGAGAGAGAGAGAGAGAGAGAGAGAGAGAGAGAGAGAGAGAGAGAGGAGAACGGGAGAGAATCGCCACACCCCTAGTATGGTAACACTGAGCGCCTGTTATTTTTGCCATTATCTTAAATGTAGAGGGCAGTTTCTAGCTCCCTTCCTATCAGCTGATGTTTGATAGCAAATGGAAAAAAAAAAAGTTACATCCTGACAACCCAAGTTAGTTTTGCCATTGAATCTGTCTCGTTATAGTGGACTTTGAAACCAGCCAGTCATTGACTGGAATATCAACTTTTCAGGACTTTTGAAGACTTTTTTTAGGCAAAAAAAAAAAAAAAAAGCTTTCAAAATGTACTTTAAAAATAAGTTCTGGTATTTGTTTTGGTATTAAGCAAGCCATAAAACTGCTTGAAATATATCTTTTTTAGAGTAATCTACTTTTCTAAAACTTACTGCCTGGTCAAATAAAGTTTATATGGGATAGTTACATGTTCTCATAGCTTCAGATGTGTTAGGGGCATTTAAAAAATACTTCAACAAGCATTTATCAGTAGATACCTACCATCTCAGGATTTATTTGTGACGACCGTACTCCATTGAACAGCATTTTCAAACTCAGTTATCACAAATACTAAGAAGTAATACACGTTGCTGTTACTTCTTAATTGCAGCAAGAATGTTTTTGTTTAATTAAAGTTTAACACTATGTGTATTTTTCTACAATGAAATAAAAAATAAGCTGCTTCAGGTTTTATTTTTATTCTCCCTCCACTGCCTGTGCAGGAAAATTATAGACAGCTTCGAATCAGAGCCCAAGACTGGCAGATTAATCCTATTGCTAGAAACTCAGAGTGTGTCAAGTTGTCTGTGGTATTAAACAGCAGCTGTTGGACCCCTTGTCAAAGAACAGCTGAAAATAACACTGACGTGTGGGTTAGAGGTCACTTGCAAGCACATCAGAGATACTGACTCCACTGGAGCCATCGGAAATCTCTGGGACAAAGCCAGAACAGAGGAGATAGCTATAAACAGAGTTCCATGAGTCCACTCGCCATTTCAACCCTTAACTCAGTTTAAAAGCACATTCAGGTTCAGGTTCAGGGCCAGTGCTCAGAAGACTGAGTCAGCACCACTGCTTTGTTTTGCTAAAGTTCACAATAATACTATTGAGTTAAGGGGGGAAAGTGTTCTTACATATGTTTCTGGGTTCAGCAATCACTTTTGTTTCCCAGAGCACATCAAGGCTGTTCCAGTTATGTAGCCATGACCGAGGGCCCTGCTCTCAGCATCTGCCTGCTGCTCCAGCGAGAGGAAATCAGTCCTTGGACTCCCTGAATGTTCCCTGATGCCACGAAGGGAGCATTTGGAGCAAGCTGAGACCAGATGCCAGGATACCGCGGTGTAGAAAAGATTGTCAATGGTATACTATATAATAAAAGCCCAGCGACCTAATGACGGCAGAACGACTAGAACGACCTGTCGACCAGTCGCTATGACATGCACTGACCACCAGGGGGCAGACACTGGACTCAGGAGCTGCCCCCTGGTGGTCAGTGTGCTACCACTGCAGGAGCACCGCTCTGCTGACCAGGATGAGCGCTGCTCACACTGCAAACCCTGGGCCCATGGGCAGGAACCCGGGCTGCGATCCTGGCCTCCTCACCCCAGGCTCCTCCTCCTTGCTCCCTGCCGCCTCCAGATGCCCACAGGCTGTGCAGTGCCGCCACCGGACTTGCATAGCTGACCCCAGAGGCTGGGAGGTGGGTTTGTGGCCACTGTGGGACTGAGGCCTACTCCACCCCCTCTCAGTGCTCCCTGGGCCCAGCCCTGACTGGGTCCCCTGGAGAGGCCAGTGCTCTGGCTCCATGAAAGATCCTGGACTAGGGAACAGCCACTCAGAGGATGGGTCCACAGCTGCTCGGCAGACAGACCAGGATGAGCAATGCTCCCACAGCAGGCCGATCCCGCAGGCCATGCCTCCCACCTGTGCACGAATCCCATGCACCGGGCCTCTAGTCATTTTATAGGAGAACCTGCAGAGAAACAACCTGACCTCTCTGCTGAGGTGGTCTCCATGTTGCTGGCAAGCACATACTGCTGAGCAAATCATTGGTCCAAACAAACCAAAGCAAATGGAATGAAACCAGTTTGCAGCTAATTGCCCTCAAGAAAAACCGAGAGTTGACGACTGTGCCACACCCTAAACTAAAATGCCCAAAGCGGCATTGCTTAAGCCACTGTGTACATTGCCAATCAGAACAGCAAACAGTGACCCACACCCAAAATACACAGTGTTCTTTCACCCAGAGTTAATCCTATTGTTAGAAACTCAGTATGTATCGTAAGTTGCATAAAGGCGCTCAGGAGGCAAAGGGAATGTTGGCAGAGAGCTGCAAAGAGCGTGGCTAGGAAAAGAGTGGTTATGTCCACAAAGCCCCACTTAAGGTGGATGACTGTGTACAAGGCGTGGAGGGCAGTGAGGAATGTGTGGACTTGCAGGTGTGTTTTTTGAAAATCCTCATCCTAGGACATGTTCACTGATTTTTAAAGAGCGGGGAAGAGAGAGAGAAACATCAGCCAGGACCATGAAGGGGAATTGAACCTGTAAACTTTGGGTGTACAGAACAACACTCCAACCAGTTGAGCCATACAGGCCAGGGCTTGAATCACTTTTTTTCTCCCCTTTCCTTGCTTTTTATTTTTATCCTCTTCAGCATTTTAGTCACCCCGCCAACCCCCACCCTTCCCCACCCTTCCTGGAGTTCTGTTGATCAAACCTCTCCAGCCACATCTAACTCATGTAGAACTTGGGCCTATGTTCTTCACCTGGCATAACACTTAACTATAAATTACATTATTAACTCTGGTAACCAATTTAGAAAATAGGTAGTATAAAATATATTATACTAGAGAAATCAGTACACAATAAATAGATGTTTCTTTAAAGCTTTTTAAGTCGGTTTGTTTATATTCTGCCTCCTCCCCCATCATCGTTTAAAAAAAGAAAAAAAAAAAGCTCCAGAAAACAAAACAAAACAGAAAACCTTATAGGCATTCTCATATCCTTTGAAGTTTGCAGAGGATATTATGCCTTCTCTGATTATCCCTCTGGGAAATGCCTGCTTTTATACCAACTGAATGTTAGTGAAATATCCTCCATGGGGAATCAAAAAGCTATAAATGGATTCTGTTGAGTTGCAAATAGCACTTTTTCCCCTCATTTTTTTTATTGTGGTAAAATACACAAAACAAAAAATTTACCATCTTAACTGTTTTTAAGTGTATGGCTCAGTGATGTTAAAAACATTCATAACGTTGTGCAATCATCACCAACATCCATCTCCATAAATCTTAATCTTGTAAAACTGAAACTTTATACTACGCAACAATAATTCTCCATTGCTTCCTCTCCCAAATTCCTGTAACCACCATTTGACTTCCTGTCCCTATGATTTTGACTACTCCATGTATTTCATATAAGTGGAATCACTCAGTATTTGTCTTTTTGCAACTGGCTTCTTTCACTCACTATAATGTCCTCATAGTTCATCCATGTTGTAACATATGTCCAAATTTCTTTCCTTTTCAAGGCTGAATAACATTCCATTGTATGTATGTACATATATATGTATATGTACATGTATGTATATATGTGTGCTTTTTAATCCTTTCAGACCACCTCACAGGGTTATTATAGAGATTAAAAGAGTTTCTTCCTTCACATAAACTGCTTAGAGGAGGACCCTGCATTTAGCAAGGGCTGTATTTGGAGTATGGTCCTAGGTGCAGAATTTGTGCTTATAAATATTGGGTGGCTGATTGAATCATATTAGTCATACAGAAAAAATACAGTTTTAGTACAACTCATCCATTCAGTATTTATTTATGCAACTAATAGTTATTGAACATTTGCTACATCCTGGACACTTACACATGAGTACAGCAGTGAGGACAACAGGTCCCTACCCTTGAAAGGTGGCCATTCCAGTGAGAAAAGACACAATGAAATAAATAACCAAGATAAAAATCCACTGTAATAATAGTTAAGGGAAAAACAACTCGTAGTGGTTTAACTAGATGGAATCACAAAAGGTTACATTCAGAATTTGCCAGAGAAATCAGGGAGTGCTTTCAGGGAGTCTATTGGAATACAGAGACTAACAGGCATAATAAACTAAGGATGATTATAAAATAATAACCACAAATAAATTACACAATATGGCAAAGGCAATGGGGCTCTGAAGTTAGACTGACTTAACCTTTTTGTGCCTCAGTTTCTTCATTGCAAATTGTGGATAATGGGAATACCAACATCACATAGCGTTGCTGGGAGGATTAAGTAAGATAGTATTTGTAAAACACTTAAAATAATGCCTGCCATATAAGTGATGTTCTGATAGTTAAATATTATTATTTATAAGATAACAAATCTATTAAGGGGTTTTCTAAAACTAATACTATCAAAAAATTGAAATGCAATTTTAAAATTAAGTTGACCTAAAGCATGGTAGGCTACTTAAATGGATTAAATATATTAGAAAGACATAAAATATGCATTACCAGAGAGGAAATGATCTCACTACAATCAGATGGTAAAAACATCTCTGGGAGTCATCATTTTCTTCTAGAGTATCATCTTTACCATTCGCTTTAGCCAAAATGTTCCCTAATTCATTCTTTATATCTTGTAACATTCCTCCTGGCACCTCTCTGGTCTTAGTAAAGACATTCATTTGCCCGTGAGGGTCATTACCCTTGTGGAATACAGGCATTCTCAGTTGCCATCTGTCAGTAAACTGAAGCTGCTCTTTCCTCTTAAAACAGCCCATTCTAGCCAACAACTTATTTCCATTGCAGGTATTTGTTTGTTCATTCATCAAGTATGATTAAATACCTATTAAGTGTTGGACACTGTTCTAGATGCCAGGCACACATCAATAAATAAAACAAAGTTTACCCACTTATGGGGCTTGTTTTATCGTAGCAGAAACATAACCAATTAGTAAACAAAAATTGTATATATATAACTATGTCAGGATGCAATAAGTGTTATGAAGAAAAATAATGCAGGGCA